AGCTTAATCCCACCTTAACCCTTGCTCTCTCCCCCAGCCCCACTCTGCTGGATTTCAAGCCTGGATGCCTCCCAGGAGCCATTGCCAAAGGCCTTGCTTTACGGAATGACTGGCGCGCCCTCTGGTGGCCTCTGGCAGAAGTGCACAGGCCCGTGTCCTTTCCGGGGCTGGAAGAAGCCACTGCAGACCACAAACTGGAGCTCCAGGGGACAAATTAGATCTATTGCTGTGCTGTTCATAAACAAGTAGGTGTATGCGTCATGGTGCTTTAAATTTTTTTCAGTAGGTTTCCATCATTTTGAAATCTGGATATTTTTCAGGAACATATTTTCAGGATATTTTTCTTTGGGAAGTAGGATCTGACCCTGGTTAGGGCTGAGGGCTGTCTGGTCTCTGCTGTAGTCACTTGGTGTTCACTTGTGTCCTGCACCCGATCCCTGTAGTGGACTGAACAGTGCTTCCTTATGAATACTCACATCCTCCTGGGACCTTAGGATGTGACCTCATTTGGAAACAGGGTCTTTGCAGATGTAGTTATTCAAGACTCTCAAGATAAAGTCAACCAAGATTTAAAGAGGGTCCTAAGTCCAATGACTGGTGTCCTCTTAGAGGGAGGACACAGGGGGACACAGGGAACACCATATGAAAACAGGAACAGATGAGCATTCACAAGCCAGGGGACACTTAAGGTGACCGGCAGCCACCGGGAGCCAGGCAACAGGTTCTCCAAAAGGAACTTAACACCTTAGGTTTCAGATTTGGGCCTCCAGGGCTGTAGGAGAATGCATTTCTGTTGTTTTAATCTCTGCAGTTTGTGGTCATTTATTATGGCAGTTCTAGAATCTAATATATCATCCCCAAGAAGTCCTGTCCTTTCTACCGCACACCCCGGACAGGTCTCTGTTCCCAAGCCTCCAAGGCAGAGGGCTCCCTGCCTCTCACCTGGACAATAGGCTACTTGTTGCAAAGTTCTTTCTGCTAAAAAGGTAGACAAACCCTGCTGGTTGGAAGATTCAAGAACGCTTCATGGAGGAGGCGAATCCTGAACTGGGCCCTAGAAACACTGCAGAACTGGTGGGTGGCCCGCACATTCTGGGCGACAGGTAGTGAAAGTGGGAAAGAGGGCTACAGACACTTACTCCTCCCTTCTGTGGACACATTTGCCCTGATCACCAAGCAACGAGCTTGGAATGGAGGCCTGTGGCTGGGCGGGTCAACAGGATGGAATTAAGTCGTGCAGGTTCCAAAACTTTGAGATTTTTGGGTTCCCACCCATGCTAAGAATAGTATTGGACATTACTCATATCCAGGGAGGGCAGTTCTTTAAGCTAACTACTCCACTCTCCTGGTACGGCAGGTTGTTGGGTTTGTATCTTTTCAGGAAGCATCCCTGGGTAACAGACCAGGGCCCTGGACACAGGGGTGGGCACATGATCCAGGCCTGGCCCATCCCAGCATTCCCTTCCCTCCAGCAGCAGCACAACAGACACAGTCAGAGACCTTCCTGGGACGGACGTGTAGACTCTGGGTACAAGTGACTCTCTAAGCCAATCTGAATTTGTTTTCTGTCACTTATAAACAAAAGGGTTTTCGTAGATATGGTGCTTCTAAAAACCCTGTCCCTCCTGACCAAAGAAGTCAACAAAAGCAGAGGGTGGTGTCCAACCTCCAGTTCAGAGGGGCCCCTGTGCACTTTGTGGTGAGCATATGAGTCCTTGGTGCTCTTAGGATGAGTTGGAAAAAGTGTGAGAGCCAAATGATCAGACTTTGCAAGACCAAAGGAACTTTTTACCCCTATTATGGGTAAATAGGGAGCCATTGAGGATTTTATGTAGAAGAAGAGAATCACTCTGACACCATGGTCGTTGTGACATAATGGGACCAGCAGTTCGAGAAAGGAAGGGGCCAGCGGGCCAGGTCATTGGTGCTAGTTGATCAGGGCTGTGCTGGGAGTTCATTCATTCAATAGCTGTTTGATGAGTCACCGCTGGACTAGAGGCAGGTGCTGGAGGGTGATAGCTAATTTCACGGGTCAACTTGATTGAGCCACAGGGTGCCCAGATTAAAAAGCTCAATACCCACAGTCCAGGCAGTGGGAAGAGGCAGGTGAGGGGAGCACACCCCCGTTTTCTTCAGAGCCACAACCGGGAAGCACCACCTTCCACTTGTGCTCACAGCCTCTTGTTCACTGACCTGGGCACAAGGCTGCAAGGGCGGCTGGGAAATGTAGTCTTACTTAGCTAGAAGCCAGGGGCCATGTGACTACAGAAGGGGAGAGCAGGTGTGGGGTCATCCTGGGGGCTCTGCCACAGCCGAGGGATGCTCTGAGCTTCGGCACCTAGGCTGCATGCCAGGATCTCTCCCCCGGAAGCAGGGTGACCGTCCTCCGTGCCCCTACACAAACTCTCAGGACACCAGTGGCTCTCAGAGCTCCCCCTGTGCTTCAGACTCTTCTGTCACCTCTGTGAGGAGTGAATGACACGACTCAGGTGGGCACAGGGCCTGGTACAAAACCAGCCCTCGGTGTATGAAACCACGGATACCATGGCCCGACCCCCAACCTGCTCCTGCTCCTCCTTCTCCTCTTCCTCACGGGGCTCAGCTAACAGGGTCACCATCTTCAGGAGCCCAAGCCAAGAGCCCCAACACCCAAGTCAGGGGTCCCCGAGAATAAATGACCAGGTAGGATTTTAACTAGGAAGACGTGTAGGGGTCCACACGTATCCCCACTCGTGGCTGAGATGGACAGAGAGGAAAACCAGCAAAACCGTCGGGTGGGAGGCAGCAGATGCTTCCAAGGGGCCACACAGGACGCAGCTCCCCCTCCCAGGAACTCGAAGATGCCCCGGAAATGTTTTCTCCGGGGAAGCTCATCTGTGACTCAGGGCTGGGGTGTGTTCTAGAGGCAGATGGCATAGGCACCCCCGCCTGGCATGTCCCAAGGGTCCAGGCTCCCCAAAGGAAAGCCGCGTTCAGCAGAAGTCCTGCTGTTTCCCCCCAGAATATTTGGGCCCAGCAAGCCACCTTGCTCCGAGAATCACGGGACGCTTCTGAAATCCAAGTTCCCAAACGCCAAGCTGGCAAGCAGGTATTTCAGAAAGGTAACGAGGCCTTTCTGTGTCACGGCTCTGCCCAGTTCCCGAGAAGCCCAGGGTGGGCAGGAGGGAGGGTGCCACTCTGGGTGCTGTCCTCACAGGTGACTGGCATGAGGGGGACACTGTGATATAAAGTAGATTTGGCCTTTGCCTGGTTCCTGACCCAGAGCTCCTAAGCACTTCCTCATTTCCTGAGTAACAGGAGCTTCCCACACTGAGCTCCCACAGCCCCAGGGGTTTCCTGGGTGGTGGGACATTTCTGGTGGGCTCCTGGATAGCCTCAGGGTGGGGACTGATGACCCGGGAAACCAGCCATGTGATTTGAGGGTCGCACCACCTTAGCAGCTAGGGAGGGGAGAGGGGCCGGTGGCTGTGGCCAGTGAGGTACCCCTTCACTGGTGGTAACTGCAGGCAGATAGGGTGTGGCTAGGGGAAGGAGGTCACGGGGCGGGGCGGGCCTTTGGAGTTTCGTTTGTCCCTGGTGAGTGGAGCCCTGGGCCCCGGCTGTCGTGTCCTGGTAGCTGTCTGCCCCATCCCCTCCTGCCTCACCCCAGCCAGGCAGTGGCTGACCAGGGACTGAACCTGTGACACCAGGAGCCCAAAGAAAGTTTTCCTCCTCGTGAGTTGTCCCCATGGAGTCTTCTGGTCACAGGGTCACAGGGATGCAGAGCTGACTAAAACACGATCCTTCGTCATCCTTTTTAAAGTAAAATTTAATTTTGCTTTGCAAATGTGTGAGCTATCGTGGTTAATTAGAGCAAGTGTGTGGGGAGAGAGAGAGAGAGAGAGAGAGAGAGAGAGAGAGAGAATGATGAATCCTGCTGAACCTAACAGAAATGTTCTCTGGATTCATTCCTTTGCACTCTTTCACAGAATCCCAACACTGGGTGATCTAGTCCAATCCCTTAATCTTTTTTTTTGTGTGTGTGTATGTGTGTGGCGGGGTATAACTAGGAATTGAACCCAGGAGCACTCTGCCACTGAGCTATATCATTTTTTTTTT